TTCGACGACTGCTGCGTCGGCTGCCACGGACCGATGGCACAGGTCGCAGCCTACGTGGCCCAGGCGACGAAGGCGGTCATCTCACAGCTGGAGGCCTTAGGCTGCAAGGTCTCAGCAGCAAAGAGCGAACTGCTGGCCTGCTCGCCAGAGCTGGCATCATTGGTCGCCAAGCTAATGGGAGGCATCGCCTTCCCCATCGCCGACTCGGTCAAGAACCTGGGGGTCGACTACTGCCTCGACGGCCAGGCGTTCGTGGTCCTCGAGAAGCGGCATACGAAGGCGGCATCCCAGTTGCAGAGGTTGCACGCCATCCGCTCGCAGGAGACCCCAGCAGCAGCTCGAGTGGCGAACACTGGTCTGCGGCCTGCTACTCGCTATGGGCTGAGTGTGGTGGGTTGGCCGACGTCGCAGCTCAACAAGTGGAGGAGCCAGGTCAACGCCGTTCACCATGGGCGCGGCCAAGGCAAGAGCCTCAGCCTCAGTTTCCTCCTCAGCAAGCGTCTGCACTGCGACCCGCTGTACGACCACGTGGCGCTGCCCATTGTCGCATGGGCCAAAGCGGTGCAGTTCAACTCGGACAGTAGGGACCTGAGGGCCCTGGGCAGCGCTTTCGCAGGGGCTAGGACGTTGCTGGCCAGAGGCGGGCCTGAGGCGTTGGCTGGACGCGGGCCAGCTGCTGCGTGCGTGTTAGCCTGCCACCGCCTGGGCTGGACCGCCACACTGCCAGGGTTGCTCACCAACGACAAGCAGCAGCCGCTGGACCTACGGACCCTGGGGGCCTCCACGCTCGCCAAGCACATCGCCGATGGCCACGAGAGGGCGCTGTGGCGAGCAGCGAGCAAGCACCCAGGGCTGGAGCATCTGCGCGATGGAGGCGCCCTGTCCAGTATCAGGCGCACACTGGCACGCAAGCGCATGAGCAAGCAGAAGGCCAAGCAGATGAGTTCTGCCAAGAACGCGCTGGTCGGATGTCTCTGGCCCGTGGCGCGGCGGTTCTTTGAGGAGCGCCCATTGGCCTCCCCTCCTTGGTGCCCCAGGGGATGCCCTGCGCACGGCACAGTGCGGCACCTGGCGTGGCAGTGCCCAGCCACCGAGGCTAGCCGCGCCGAGTGGATCTCCAACGAGGAGGCGGACGAGCGGTGCCCCCATGGCGACATCCCCTTTCGCACCATCGTCGGTATGGCCAGCATCGGGGGAGAGGAGGACCCGCTCTGGTCCCGCGCTCTTGCGCCCGAACACCGAAGGGCCCTGCCACCACCAACCGACACCAGGGAGGCGCGGAAGGAGGGCCGTGCCGACTTGGTGGGGCAGCCGCTCTCGGGCGACCTCTTCACGGACGGGAGCGTTCTGGACCCCAGCCTCGTCTCGGCGCGCGGCGGCTGGGCGGTCGTCGTCATGGGGCCCGACGGCGAGGCAGTCAGCCTCTTCGGCCCGCTCCCTTGGCCGTATCCACAAGAATCAGGGGCAGCGGAGCTGGTGGCGGCCATCGAGGGCATCCAGAGCTGCTTACCACCTGTGCGGATCTTCACTGACTGCAAGCTGCTCGTGGACGGCTTCGCGGCGGGCAAGGCGTGGTGCCTGCAGTGGCAGCGGCCTTGCCGCGAGCTGTGGGTGCGGTTCTGGGCGGCCCTCGACGACGTGGGGGTCGGCAGCGTCACCATCCACCAGGTGAAAGCGCACGCCACGCTGGCGGACGCGCAGGCGGAGCGCGTCACGGCCTGGCAGCGGCGGGGCAATCACAGCGCCGATGCCCGCGCCGTGCAAGGCGCGCAGATGCGTCCCAGCGACGACGACGTGCGAGATAGGAGCCGCAGGCAGGATCGTCTCGTCAAGAAGGTCTTCTGCTGGCTGGGTGCGGCGATGCAGGACGGCGACGCCGAGCTCGCAGCAGCGGACGGGCACGAGGGCCCAGGCATGGAAGCAGTTCGGTGCGATTGGCGCGGCTGCAAGATGCGATGGCGAGCTCACTGCAGTTTCCCCGACTGCCCGCAGCGCACGTGCGGGCGGCACGGGACGTGGCTGGACGTCGACGGCGACACGGTCTGGGCCTGCCAGCAGTGCGCGGGCAGGGGCGACGCGTTCGCGGGCTCCTGGGCCTCTGGGGCCGAGAGCAGTGGCGGATCGGTCGCTGCAGCCGCGGTGCTCATCACGGCGGGCGCGGCGCTGCTGTCCCACAGTCAGGCCAGCGAGGCACCAGCACAGGTGGAAGGAGACGAGGCGCGTGCAGGGCGAGTCGGCAGCGGCGCGCCTGGCGGCGGCCAGCGGGGAAGCCCACCGACGTCTGGGGGCCCTTCTGGGGCCGGTGGCGGGCCCCCGCCGCTGCCGCCGCCGCAGCTCCCGCCGTGGTGGGGATTCGACGCCCACGGCTCCCACGACCTGTGGCGGGCTGGTAACCACCTCTTCTGCGTGAAGTGCGGCTACTGGGCGCAGAGCCGTAGGATGGCGGGCCCGGCAGCGGAGTGCCCGAAGGCCCCCAAGAACGATAGGCAGAAGGCGGTGCTCAGCAGGCTGAAGCGCGGCCTGCAGCCCGCTGGGGCGGGCGGCATCGGTGACCCTGAGCCGCTGCGGCGCATGCGCAGGCGCGTCGATGGTGGCTAGGCTATTTCTTGCCACACTGCCGCCTCGCTCTGTCTGCCATCAATTGAACAGACGTGTGTTTAGCACACGGCTGTTCGGGCTGCCTCTGCAAGGCAACCAAACCCTACTTTGGCGCCTCAGGTCGCGTGAGGGCGTTGCATTGCGGGGGCAGTCGCTGCTGCGAGGCGCGTCCCGCGCCGCTCTCCAGCAGCGCCGCCCGTCCCAGTGCTGAGGCGGAACCAAGTGCGCAGGGGTTTCCACACGCACGGGATCGGGCTCGGCTGCCAGCGGCAACGTAGCAGGTTGGCATCTGGCCAGGACCCGCTGCGATGTTGGTGGCGAGGTGCAGCCGCTTGCACGGTGCTTAGTCGGGCGCGCTTGTGCCTTGCATGCTCGCCCTGCGGAAGCTGAACCAGGTGCGTAGGTTCGCCCACGCACGGGATCGGGCTCCGTCTGTTCTGTGTTGCTCTGCCCCCGCTCTCGGGTGGAGGCTGAACCAGGAGCTTAGGATTTCACACGCTCGGGATCGGGCTCTGCTGCCAGCGGCAACGTTACGTCCCTTGGACGCGGCGATGCTGCAGGCTAGGCAGCCTTTGCTCGGCGCTCGTGTCCCGCTCTTGAGCTAGCTCGTGCCGTTGCACGGCTCTCGCTCGAGCGGAAGCTGGACCAGGTGTGTTGGTTTCCACGCACTGGAGCGCTCCGTTTAATGTAGTGGCTGGCGCGCTTGCCGCGACGGCCAGCGCTTCTTGCGCCCCAGCTTGCTCTGCTCTGTGCCGCCAGTCGGAGGCTGGACCGTGGTGGTAGGTTCGCACACCGCCATGGTTGCCTCCGAAGGCCACCGCATTGCAAACCTTCCCTGTCTGTGGCCTGGTGCCAGCGGGAGGTTTGCGGTGCTGTGGCACCTCGAGCCAGCATGCTGAGTTGCCGTGAATGCTCGATGCCCTGCCTTCCGCCTGCCTCGGCCGAGGCGGATGGCGTGGCCTCTAGTCTTCAGGCGAGGCTGCGAGTGTGCCTTGGGCACGGGTCAGGCCTTGCGTCCGCAGCGCCAGAGGGAAAGGCCATGGCTTCGGGAGGCTGTATCGAGCGGGGAGCTCCAGACCTTCTTGGATGCGTGGATCATCATCATCATCATCATCAGCATCATCATCATCATCATCATCATCTTCATATTCATATTCATCTTCATCTTCTTCTTCTTCTTCATCATCATCATCATCATCATCATCATGAGGGGTCTGGCTGAGACTATGCTCTCAGATGAGCTGCTGACCACGAGCGTGAAGCGTCATAGCAAGTGGACCTCGAGGCCCCCGTCTGCTCGCGCGCCGGCGGCCCTCAGCTGGCCGAAGCTACGCTCGGTCCTCGCCTCGACGCCGCCCGCCTGCCTGGCAGATCTGCATGATCAGAACTCTTGTGTGTGCGGGGGGGGGGGGGCGACGGAGAGGAGGGTTTGCCACAGAGACTGCCAGTGCAAATCTGGGTGACCAGATGCCTTCGACGCCCAGTCTCATTGTTTGTCTCGCCCTGAGCTGCGGAGGGCGGCGCTTGAGACATGACAGCCAGCGACGCCTCTCAAGCCCTGTCTCGATCGTCGAGTGGCCTTCGCCTTAGCCATGACAGATGACCAGCGGACTCCGGCGGTCCAGAGGTTGCTTTAGATTGTTCATGCATACACATTGTTTATTTCTAATGATTCGAAAGTTATTTGATTTTTTGGGGGCCGAGATCCTTTCACTTCTAATTGCTCTGTCCTGGGCCTCTTCCTGGCCACCAGGGTGCCTGGAACAATTAGAAGCGGGCACACTTAAAATTGAGCACGATTAGAAGTGAACGACGTGTAATGTGGAACGAACATCGGCAACAGTCTCGACGGCAAAATCTGCTCGATCTGCACGTGCGCAGCTACACTACAGCAAGCTCGTGTGGCGTAACTCGGCGCCCGCGCCATGCTACGCGCGAGGAGAAGGAGAAGGGGGAGAAGGAGAAGGAGTAGGAGAAGGAGGATGAGAAGGAGAAGGATGGAGAGGGAGAAGAAGGAGGAGGGGGGGAAAGCGAAAGAGCAGTGGATACCGCATCGTTCTATTCAGAACGAGAACCCAACGCAGAAGGGCTGGGCAACAGACAGATGCGGATATGTGACTGCTGCTCACCGTTGGCAGAAGTGCCAACAGCTGACAGCTCGGAGCAGAACCGATACACCCTGCAACAAACACATGGCAGACCCTATGCCGATACAGAGCAGCACGTCTAACCTTATAACGGGTGCGTTGGCAATGCCTATCCGGTAAGCTTTAGTTGCGGATGTTGTTGTAGGTCATGCAGATAATATTGCTCTTTTTACTGTTGCATTTTCGCTGCGGCTTGGGCTCGAGCATTAAGCAGCCAGAATTTGCGTAACGTCTATTCCTTCTCAGTGCGACTCCATGGCATCACAAAGAATCAACCTCTTGCACCTGCTGCTCGCAGGGGCTTCATCCATTGCAGCAAAGGCGGCCCGCCCACATTATGATCAAGTCTCCGAGATGGCGACGGACTTGCTGACAGCCGCAGAAGCTGCCAGCCATGTCGCGCAGCCCTGCGGGCATTTTGAGGTCGACGAAAGCGACATCACGGAACGCCTCCAGATTTGTTTCAACGCATCGCGCAGCGACAACGAGAGCATCATCTCGCTGCCCGCGCGTGGCCGCTTCTTCCTCACCGGGGTACTCCAGATCCACGGTGGGCCCAAGAGGTTGGCCGGGGGCGCCGGCACCACGATTGTTTGTGATGGTAGTGGTGGTGACGGGACTGGCGTGGAGCTCAAGGACAATTCGTCTCTCGTGATTCAGGGGGTTCATTTCGAGAACTGCACGCACAACTCGCTCGGAAGAAAAACTGCGATCTCCGTCGGAGCCAGCGCGTCTTTGCGTCTGGAGGACGGGGCATCCCTGCGGGACTGCAGGGGGGACATGTGCATCCAGGCCATCGGCACTGGCGCACTGATTGTCCTCAGCCGCGGTGCTGTGATCCAGAAAAGCACGCATGCCATCCAGTCCTTCAAGCATTCGACTTCGGTGCGTGTGGAGCTCGGCTCAGTTATCGCTGACGGCAAGGTTGGTGTAGTTCTGTATGGTTCAAATCAATCGGTGGTCATTGCCAGCGGGGCCGCCTTCGAGAACCTAAGCACTGCGGCCATCTACTTGGGGGGGGACTTACACGGCACACACTTCGACCTCTCAGACAGTAACATCAGCAGGTGTGGCAATGGTTTTTGGTCATCTAGTCCACTCAGGTCAGCCCATCTGAAAAATGTGACTCTTGAAGACATCTGGGACAGCGGATTATTGCTCGGAGGAGGCAGCACTGCCGTTGATGTCGCAAACTTAACCCAGATTACCTTCAAGAATATTGGCGGCACCGCGCTGCGCTTCACTGGGGAACTGCTGATGACCGCGGCAGTCACCGCCGAGAATGCTAGTATAGGCATCGACGTGCAGGCGGGGAGTTGGAAAGACGATGGCAGTCGTGTCATAGGATCGAGGGAAGGCATCGTCCTTCGCGGCGCCACGGTGGTGGACGCATCGGGCGTCGAAGTCGCGAAGAACATCGAGGGTGTAAAATGCGTCGCTGGGCATGGTGAGGGAGACAGCGTGAATGAGAACGTGTCCGGCATTATCGGCGGCTTCGTCTATCCAGCTGCTTCCGGCCATTCCGCCACAGTGCCAGCGCAGCATCCTGGGTGGCGACTTCGAGGGGGCACGTGAGGCCGTCGCACGTGACGCCTCGGGCCTTTCGAAGGCCTGTTGGGTGCCTCTTGGGGGCCTTTTGGGGCGTCTTGGCAACGTCTTTAGGGTACCTCGGAGGCTCTTGGGGGCTGCCTGGGCCGTCTGAGGGCGCTCTTGTGCCGTCTGGGCGCTTTCGCATTCCGTCTTGGGGGCTCTCTGGGTCGTCTTCGGCCCTCTTGGGAACCTCTAGGGCTGTCTGGGGGCTCTCTTGGGTCGACTTGGGGCCCTGTGGGACCGCTGTTGGACCATGCTGGAACCCTCTTCGGCCGTCTCGGGGCCCAATCGAGGCCCTCGGGCCGTCTCGAGGCCACCCTGGAGGCTTCCCGTGCCAGCTCGAGCCGACGAAAGGCAGACAAAAGTGAGAATGCGACAACCCTTCGAAAACCGCAAGAGACTGTATGATTTTAGCTTCTTCGGGCCCCGCGCGCCCCGGGCCGTCGCGGGGCCGCACCTGGCCGTCTTGGAGGCATTCTTGGCGGCATTGATGGCCTGCCTGGGCCGTTGCGGAAGCCACTCCGGGCATCCGGGAGGCTTCTGGAGCGCGCCCGGGAGGCGCCGGGCTGCCCGCGAAGCCTCGGGAGGGAGGAGCGGTGCATGGGAGGGCGCGCTAGTAGGGGGGGGGGCCCTCCACTCGGGGTGCATATGCTGGCAGATGTCGCAGACCCATCCGCCATGGTCCAGCCGCTGGCAGCAACTCACAGCCATATCCGCAATATCGTCAGCTTGCAATTCACAGGCTGCGCTTTGCATTCTGCCTGGCCCAGGACTCCGACCAGACCATTTCGGTGTCTTCGATGTTTCGCCACAGCCAAGGAGTCTTTCGGATCTTGACGAGCAGTTCCGTGGTCGACGCGTTCTCGCTCCATGATTCAGCAGTCGTTCTTCCCGCTCGCGTCTTCGCTCAGGGTGACCTCACAGGGGGACGTCGCGTTCGGACTCGCCCCGCTCACGCGCGGGGCCGGGTTGAATCCAGGCAGGAGCTGCTCGCCGCAGGTCTCCAAAGATCTGGCGCTGCAGACTACCATCCAGGCTCCAGCCTGCCGAATCCTCGGCCCCGCTTCGCCCCTGACAGATGAGCCCATCTCGAACTTAGCGGCGCTGAATTTCTCTGGAGTCGTAGATTTGTGCCCGCGCGGCCGTTTGACTTCATGCTCCAGGGTCATATCGGAATTGCGCTGGAGCCGTGGCGTCAATTGCCTCTACCCTGTAACGGAGCAGTCGATGCAGCCTCGGCAGGTCATCAGTCCGCCTGGGCTCGGTCTGCCCCGCATCCCCCATTGCTAGCCGTTCGCCCCGATCTGCCTTTCCGCGGCAAGGTCGTTCAGCAGAGGGCGGGGCCGACGCTCCGCCGTGGACTTGCATCTCGCCCTTTCCGCGCTCGGCAACTAGAGATGGGCCGTGCTCTTCCTGCAACGACATCGGAGCAGAGTGGCGCGTGCGTTCGTCGGCTCTGCCTCGCCTGCCACGGGCCTCAGTCGGCTCGGCCTCGGCCCGCAGTCGTGCCATCCCTGCCTCGCGGGCCAGCCTTGAATGGATTAGTTCATCGCTTCGCTCATTCCGCCGGCCCTGGAGCGCTATTTGGGCCTCTTGGGGCCGTCTTGGGGGCTTCTTGGTGGCTTTTTGGGAGCGTCTTGGGGCTCCTTGGCGGCGTATTGGGCTCCCCTGGGGCCTCTTGGGGGGCTCTTGGGGGCCTCGCGGGCCGGCCTTGAATGGATTGTCGCCCTCGAGCTCCGCCGCGCGCTGCGTCGCCGCCTCGGCCCCCGCCCCCCTGAGTTGTGCAAGGGCCCCCTCGGGGCCGCGCGCTCTTCGTGGGCGCGCGTCTCCGCGGGGCGCCAGCCGATCGCTCGATCCCGGCCGAAGCGAACCTTCGTGCACCCCCGGCGTTCTCGATCGCCCACTGGGGCCGCGCGTCGAGGGCTCGGGCGTAGACCCCCCCCTCTTGGCTGCCGGCTGGTAGAAGCGGGCCTCTCCCTCCCGTCTGGGCAGGCCGTTGTTGCGGAGCGCTTGCAGATGGGTCGCCCCCTGCTGCGTCCTGCAGCGGCGCGCGGAGTCCGCCGTGGGACGCTGCGCAGAGCACCCCTCTACCCGCCCGAGCGGAAGCTTCGGGGCGACGTTGGTCTGGCAGCGGGGGGAAGCTGCTCCCGGGGGCGCCCGTCCACAAGACGCCGGCTGCTTTCGAGCGCTCCGATTGCCTGGCCACCTGCTGTTCCTGCAGGGCGCGGCCTCCTGGCGCTCTCGAGCGCCGCTCGGCTCGCGGCGCCCGGGCCCGAGCGGGGCGCGCAGAGCTCGCCGAGCCAGCCGCGCCGAGACCGAAGCGGGCCCAGGATGTGCGCCGCCGCCTGCTCGCGCGGCAGCTGGGTCGACGCCATCGCGCCGAGCTCCGCTGGCCCCCCGCGCACCGGGCGCGCGAGCTGCTCGCCGGCTGCTCTCCGCTCCCTGTTCCGACGGAGGCGGGCGCGCTGTCTTTCCGCCGCGGCCGCTCAGTCGCGGGTGGCTCTCGCGACTTCTTCTCGGGTGCAACGAACGGCGCGATGTCATATCTGCCTCTTCGCCTCTTTCGCCAGGGCCTCGCCTGGATTTTCTTTGGCCACAACTAAGAGGAAGACCCGTCCAGCCAGTGCGCTGCGCGGTGACCGATCCAGTGCCAGAGCGCCCCCAGCTTGCCGGGGCTTTCCGCGGCGCCCGCGGCCCTCTGCCCCCGCGCAGCACGTCGACGACCCGCGCGGTCAGCAGAGACCTCCAGGCGCCAACTCCGCGTCTGAGGCCCGCGATTAACGCCCCGCAGCACGGGCGCGCTCGCTGGCCTCAGCTCCAACGAGCGACGCGAAGAAGCCCTGCGTGAACAGAAACTTGCATTCAAGGAGCAGGAACTTGGAGAGGTCCGCCATCTTGTCCGTTGGGTATACTTCCTTTCGAATTTGATTCGCGCCTTGTTCCCGCTCGTTGGAAACTCCCAGTTCCTCGCTAGAGAGGCAGACGCCCTCCTTCTCAGGGGGCGTTTCGCCGAATCGAGCGGTTTCATGTTTCGGGCCTCCGATGGAGCCCGTTTTTTATTGATTGGGGCATGACGGGCGTCATGGCCCCCGCTTCCCCCCCCTGTGACGTAACGCTCCCCCCCCCAGTGCGCTCCGGGCACTGCCGCCGCGCGCAGTGGGATCCGCGTAGGTGTCCGCGTAGGGATCCGCGTAGGTGGCCGACCTCATTGAGGTCGGCCATCGCTGCGTCCCCCAGGCCCCGTAGATGCGATTAGGCTCGGGATCGTACATCAACGTGCCACGCGCCTTTCTTCATCCGCTCGGCCCCCTTCCCGCTTCAGGGCGACAGCGGTTTCGGCGCTCTGGGCCTCCTCCTGGAGGTTGGCTTCGGCGCCCGCGCGCACCTCGCCGCTCGCCCTATACAGTCGGGGCCCTGAAGAAGGAACCCTTTTCGTTGGGGAGGGGCTCCGTGTTCCTTAATTGTTTCGCAGCTTGCCTCAGATTTCCCTTAGGTTTCCGATGCGAAATCGAAGTTCAACTTATGGAACATAGGGGCCTCGTTCCTTCTTTGGGGTTCCTTAGGTCAACGCCCCGACTGTATATCCTCGACAGAACATCATCTCGCAGGTGGTCCTGACGAGGCGACCTCGCCAGCGCCCACCGTGCGCGACCGAATTCCTGGCGCCGCAGGCCTCGGCGCTCCCCTCGCCTTGCGGAGGCGCCCCGGCTCCCGCCGCAGACCGCGCCCTCGCGCGCCCCTCTCGGACGGGCAGCAACTGGTCATCCCGAATCGGATGAACACCGGGATGGCCTCGGCACTTCTGCGCGTCTTCAGCGGGTTCAGCCTCACTTTCAATTGCGTTTGTCGCAGGCCAGGCCTTCGCTCTAGACCCTCAAGAGCTGCCCCCCGACCTTCACGAATTCTCCTGGCGTTATTCCCGTTGCGCCTCCGTCTCTCAAGCGGAAGCTTGTCGAAGACCGATTGGTCCATTCTCTCATGCTCTTCGCGAAGTTGCTCCCCTAACTCTTCCGTTCTGGCCCCGCTTGTCTTCGGGCGCCCAGAAGGACTGTTTCTCGGCGCCCTACCGGGCGTCATTGGCTACTCGCGAATTCCTGGGGCGAATCGCGTCGAAACACGCACTGCCTCGCAGTCGGGATCAGCGTCCTCCTGACTCGCCGCGTGCCCACTTCGCTCTGTTTGACTTCGACCGTGTAGATGCAGAGGGCCCCGTTAGCTTTGCCCGAGGCGGGCCGCGTCTTCTTCGGCGATCGCGGCTCGCTCTACGCTGCTTCTTTCCGGCGTTCTTCGCCCCCTGGGAAGAGACGGCCTCGTCGGCCACGTCGAGATTGCCGAGCGCGTAGTCCGCGTCTCTCTCCCTCACCACGATGGCCACATATCGGACGTCCTTCGCTGCCTCCGTTGTCACCCGACGTGGTCGACCGTGGAGTTCCTCTCTTCAGAAGCTTCGCTGGGTCCATCTCCAGGCAATCCGTGGTGTCCACCGGCGCCAGCGGGCTCGCTCCAGTCCCCACGGGGCTCGGTCCGATGCTGGCGCTGCTCGCTGCGAGCGCCCCCCAGCCGTCGATCTCCCCGAACGGCGGGTTCCTCCCGACGGCCCGCGGGGCCCTTTGGTCGGGGAAGCGTGCGAGTCGATGTCGCCGGAGTTGGAGTTTGTCGACGCTTTTCGACGAGCCCGTCTCATATCTGAATTCATACTTGTTCTGGAGATTTCTGCGGCGGGCGGCGGGAGCTCGCGTCAAATCTCGGACTGGCTCTGGTCATCTGTCTGCCCCGCCAGGCCAACCCGAGTCCCCCGAAGTCGAGTCGCATGTCTTCTCGAGTTTGCCCGCCAACTGTGGAGCAATTCATCGTTGAGTCGCCGCCTGACCAGGCCTCCAGGCCCCCAGGGACTCCTGGAGGGCGCTGGGCTCCCAAGGAGTACCCTGCTTGAGGTCGTTGTCGCCCCCCCCCCCCCCCCAATATATATATATATATATATATATATATATATATATATATGTATTCTCGAGTTTGCCAGGCTCTGCTCTGCGCCCTGCACGCTCGAGGCCCGCCTTTCCCACCCGGGCGCTGCAGGTCCACTTCGCGCCCGGGGTCTTCGCCCGGCGTCGGGCGCCCTGGCCCTCGCGGCTCGATCTCAGCTCGAGAGGCGCCGCGGGAAGACGAGGCCCGGGGCCCCGGCCGCACGCGTTCGCGATGTCTCGGGTGCTGCCAAAAGTGCCCCTGGCCCTACAGGTGCCCCCAGCTTCTCGCTCCCTTTTGGAGCCCCTGGGGCTCTCGGGGCCTCGCGAGGGGCGCCCTGGAGGCCGTCTGGGCCACCCCGAGGATCCTGGGGGTACCTTGGGCCAGGGGTACTTCTGGCAGCACCCGCATGTTGCATTTTTGTCGCAACGCCGAATCTCAGGAGCACTGCAGTGAGCTGCGCGGCAGGTCTGGGTGCCGCGGCAACCTCCATCTCCTTCGGCGGGTCACCGAACTGTCGCCTTGGGCGTGCCCTCTCAAGCACCGGGCCCGCCATCGCGTCTACGAAGGTCTCGACCAGGTCGTCGGCCGCAGGAGTTCTCGCCCAGCTGTCCCTTCCCGCTTACAGAACTTGTCGATTTCGCGCACGCGTCCATATCTTACTGCCGTTCCTCAGCTTCCGTTCCTTCGATGGGGACGTCTGTTGCAAAGGCCTTACGGCCGGTGCCGCCGACCTTGAATGGCCATGACGACGACGACGGCGACGACGACGACGACGACGACGACGACGACGACGACGACGACGACGACGGTGACGGCGGCGGCGACGACGACGACGACGACGACGACGGCGACGGCGACGATGGCGACGACGGCGACGACGGCGACGGCGGCGGCAGCGACGGCGACGGCGATGACGACGACGAAAAATGTAGGGGCCACATGCGAACCCTACCCCTACCCCCCACGATTTCTGAGGGGGAGGGTGGGGTTCACTTCGCTTGTTGGTTGGTGCTCCCCCTCTTCAGGAGCTTCTTGGGACTTTCTTGGGGCCCTATTCGGCCGTTTTGGGGTCCTCTTGGGCGGTCTTGGGGCAGTCTTCGGTTGTTTTGGAGCCGTCTCAGGCTGTTTTCGGGCGCTTTCGGCCGCCTCTTGGACCGTCTTGGGGCGATTTTGGTGGCTTCCTGGCCTGTCTTGGAGCGTCTTAGAAGAACTGAATGCAAATCGTTGAATTTCGCCTCTTTGGGCCTTTGGGGCTCTTCTCGGAGCCCTATTGGGGCGTCTTGGGGGGCCGTCTTGGAGCGATTTTGGGCTGTTTCAAGGCCCCTTTGGATCCAGCCAGGGTAAAACTGAGCTCAAGGCGTTCGAGACGCAACAGGCATCGAAGGTGAACGCTTCTCCCAGGCAGGGGATCTCCCAGGCAGCCGGTGGCGACCCCCCCAGGACCCACCCACCCCTCGCGCGAGGGAGGGATCAAAGGGAAGGGGGTCCCTACGAACTACCCCCCCGTGCAAAAAGCAAATGGTGTTTTTCTGCACACCTCCTCCCCACCACCCCCAATTTCAATGTTCAATGTTCGATTTCGCGCGATCAACATTGAAATGGGGGGCCGGGGGGCTCACCAAACACCAGTTGCGTTTTGCACGGGGTTGTAGTGACAACGTTGCTCACTTTCCCTGCAGATGGCGCGCTTGAGGCGGAGGGCCCAGGGGAAGGCAGGGAGCGGCGGCGGCGGCGGCGGCTGCGGCGGCGGCCACGACGACGACGAGGACGACGACGTCAACGACGACGCCTGAAACGGAAAAACGTTCAAGACACGCTGACAGGGTCGGCGGATTCGTTTCGAGATCTCCACCGCGTCCTCCGAAGCGCTGCCTTCTCCTGCAGCTGCTCCGCCCCTCTCCTCGTCGGCCTGGGCTCCTGCGCCGGCGACGCCATCCGTCGCCGCGCTCGCTGCATCCGCCGCTTCCACAGCACGCGGTGCTGGAGGACCAGGCTCGTTCTAGGGGCGCTCTTCGACTCGGTCAGCCTGCGCCTTTCGAGGGCGGCCTGGACGGGTTCGGGCCGAGGCGGTCCGAGCTCGGGCTGCCCTGGCTCGGCTTCTCCCCCGGCAGCTCTGGCCCCCGGGAGCTCCGTCTGGCGTGCCGGCCCCTCGCCCGGCCTGCCGCGTCGAGAGCGCCGCCCTTTCCACTTGGCCGGAAGGGGCCTACACGCAGGTAGCTCGGAGCTTCTCCGTGTCCTTCTGGAGCCACTGGGCGTTCTTGCGCGAGCAGGGGCGCGAGCAGTGGGCTGCCCACCTTTCCTGAGGATGGGTTCGGCCGGGAAGCGATTGTGGCGCCATTCCGCAGGTTCGGTTCCTGTGCCTTGGGGGCGGGCGGATCGTTTGTGTTTTGGGTTTGAACTAGCGCGGCGGTTCTACGCAGTGGTCTCGTTCTAGGTTCCTCTGATTTCGTGTAGGCAGGTGGCTTCCGCTGGTGGAGCGCATGCAAAAGTTAGCAGTCACGCAAGTCGGAATACTTCCAGCAGCACACACAACGAGCGCGCGTCGAAGAAGTATGCGGCACTGGCGGGTCTCGTCGCGTACGCAGCAGAACATTTCCAGACCATAGCCGAAACATCTCCGAGACATCTCCGCACCGACAAAATACAGGCACAAGCATCTATGGGCTGACCCGGTGATCCAGTGACCAGGTGAACCGGTTGACCCGGTTGATGCATGACCCAGCTGACCCGGTGATTTGGTGATTTAGTGACCCAGCTGACCCGGTTGCTGGCCTGGCTGGCTCGGTGATCCGGTGACTTTCGTGACCATGAGCCACTTGACTTGGCCGACCCACCTCGCGCGAGACATCTCGGAGCCCAGAACTGCGAGGATGTCTGAGGCGAAACAGGGCGGACCACCTAGCCCAGAGGTGAAGGATGTCTCGAGCGGAACAGGCCAGACCGCAACAACCTTGGCTATCTCGGAAAGCAGAGTTGCGAGGATCTCTCAGGCGAAACTGGCCGGATCACCTCTCGCGCGGCATCGCCGAGCCTAGAATTGCGAGAATGTCTCAGGCGAAACGGGCCAGCCACCCCCATCCTGGGCATCACGGAACCCAGCGATGTAAGGATGTTTCAAGAGGAACGGGCCAGACAACCTCAATCTTGGCCATCACGGAGCCCAGCGTTGCAAGGATGTTTCAAGAGGAACGGGCCAGACAACCTCAATCTTGGCCATCTCGGAGCCCAGAGGTGCGAGGATGTTTCGGGCGAAGCGGGCCAGACCACTTCTTGCGCCGCATCTCGGAGCCCAGAGGTGCGAGGATGTCTCAGGCAAAGCGGGCCAGACCACCTCTCGCGCGGTACTTCGTAGCCCAGAGTTGCGAGGGTGTCTCAGGCAGAACGGGCCGGACCACCTTGCTCGCGGCATCTCGAAGCTCAGATTTGCGAAGCTGTCTCAGGCGAGACGGCCCAGACCACCCAATCCCGGCCATCTCTGAAACAAGGTTTGCGAGGATGCTTCAGGCGAAACGGGCCAGACCATCAGAATTTTGACGATGTCTCTGTGCGTGGGTCTCTCGGGCGGAGCTGGATCATACCAGATCCTCAGTCAGCATAGCTGTCTGCGGAAAATCCTTTAGGTCGGAGGCTTCGGAATTCTGGGGTGTGGGCTTCTGAAATGGTGTTACAATGCAGGCAGAGGATTTTCATGGACCTGAGGACTCTCCAATTCGTGCCTGGAGGCACGTTGGCAGATCTCAATGATAACGACGATTTCGGATGCCACCGATCCCCCCATCTTGAGTTGCGACGCGACTTCATCCTGAGTTGGCACTACAAGTTGTTCTTCCAAAGGATCTTGCAGGCGCTCTTCATCACCAATGCTGCCGCGACGGTTATCCCACTGCTCCAAGACGAGCCGCACGTGCTTGCGCAGCTGAGGCTTCCAACGCTCGCCGCCTGGTTGCTGTGGCTGGCCGGCGGCTCGTTGCTCATTGCGGCGGTGATCGCGCTTCATTTGTCCTTGCCCTCCCAGCAGGGGGCAACGAGCGACAATGGCATGATCCTAAAGACCTACGCCCTCGTCGTGCTGGGCCTGCTCCTCGGAGCGATGAGCCACTGCGCAGTTGTCGTCGGCAAGAAGAGGTACCTCATGCTGGCCGAGGGCTACGAGAAGTACATGCGCAGCGTGGAGGAGAAGCGGATGGAGGAGTGGCGCTGCCCGAAGGGCGACAAAAACAATTCGTTTGTGGCACCGCCGAAATCGAAGGAGCAGGCGAAGCAGGTCGTGCGCGCGATGAAGTGGAACATGGCTGGCGTGAGCGGCAACGTCTTCGAGTTCTGGGGCCTCGCGCCGAACAGGATCGCCGAGGCCGTGGAGCGCTCGGTGCGGACCGGCTGCAGCGGGCGGCGCTTGGGGGACGTGCTGACGGTGGATCGGACGGCGGAGCTGCAGAGGCGCAGGGGAGGAAAGAAGAGGCCGCCGCCGCGGCTCGTCCTCTGGAGCCCTCGTCGCCACGGCCGGATGATGATCCTCGGAGTTCTCGTCAGAGCGCACTGGTTCGAAGAAGAAGAAGAAGAAGAAGAAGAAGAAGAAGAAGGAGCGGCGTCAGCATTTCTGGGAGGATGTCTTGGGCTCCCTTCGGAGCCCCACGCGGATTGCACGGAGCGGCCATGGGCCCCCTGCGGCGGCGCCTCCGGCGCCGCCCCTGGCGCGCTCCGCGCGCCAGGGAGAGGGACGGGTCAATCCAAGAAGATCCGCGCGGAACTCCGAAGGCTATTGGTTTTGTGGCGTGTCTCTGGTTTCTCTTCTCCGCCAGAGGCTGCTCGCGGGCGCCGGGCTGCCCCCGCTGCCGGAGGGGCTGCTGAGGACCCTGCGCGCGAGGGGCGTAGTGGCGTTCCTGTGCGACGAGGGCATCGGCGAGAAGCGGCTCGTGTCCCTGCCCGACCGGGCCACCGCGGGCCTGGGGGGCGGAAGGCCCGGGGCCACGACGGCTTTCGCCGGCAGCATCGGGTCCATGGAGGAGTGGTGGTCCGCCTGGGCCCGCTTCGTCTTCGAGGGGGACGCGCTCGGCAAGGTCGTGCCGCACCCGGAGAAGTACCACGCGGCCCTCACGGAGGTTCAAGAAAGACATTCATTTCGGTGCGCATGATCTTTCGGAGGCCACGCGGATTTCTTGCATCGGTGCTGGACCCCCCTCCCTGGCGCGCGGGGCGCGCCTGGGGCGGCGCCGAAGGCGCTGCCACGGGTGCCCAGCGCCGATGCAAGAAAACCACGGGGACTCCGAATGTTTTAGTTCATGCCTTTGTTTCTTCCTTCACGAGGTGGAGATCGAGCTGTCTGTGTCGCTGCAACTTCTTCACCTCGCGCTGTTCGACGGCGCTCTGGTGCAAATCCTCAACGACGTCGAGCCCGGCTGGATGGACGTCAAGCGCCAGCTCCTTGCCGTCGACAAGGTCTCCCTGGGCGCCAAGATCCTCAGGGAGGCGTACGGCAGCTTCGACGTCCTCCTCCTCCAGGAGTCGAAGAAGAACAAACGGCAATGACATCAACTTTCGGAGCTCTGCGCGGCTTTCTTAGATCGGCGCTGGGCCCCCCTGGCGACGCCTCCGGCGCCGCCACTGGCGCGCTCCGCGCGCCAGGGAGGGGGCTCCAGCGCCGATCCAAGAAATCTGCGCGGAGCTCTGAAAGTTGATGTTCACGCCATTATTTTTCCCATCTGAGGAGGTGACGACCGCCGGCCGCAGCGCCATCGCCGAGGCGCTGCCAGACTTCGAGGTGGTCGCCGGGGGGTCCCATGGGCAGGACTCCCTGGTCGTGGTGCGGAAGGAGCGCTTCGCGGACGTGGTGAACGAGACGGCCACTTTCGCGCCCGACCTGCCCATCAGCCCAGGGGACGGCTGCGTCGTGCGCGCCTCCTTGGACGGCGAGGAGGTCCTCCTCGGCAGCTTCCACAGCGACAGCGACGGCCACGCCACCGTGCCCTTCGTCGAGGCGTTCACGCGACACGCGGAGGACAAGAAGTGCCTGCTGGGCATCGACGGCAACATGGCCACCGACCCCGGCAAGGGCAAGCTGACCTCGACGGACTTCCGCGCCGCCGTGTCGCAGCTGGGGCTGCACAGCTGCCTGCCCGAGGACGTGTGGACTACCTTCAAGGCAAGGACATTCGTGCAGCCCCAGCTCCAGAAGGCGGTGCGCAGCGAGAACCTGAGCACGGAGGCGGACATGGGGCCAGAGGACCACATCCTGGCAAAGGTCGGGTCGGACGAAAGGGGCACCATTCTGCACAAACGGAAAGTTGTTGGAGGTTTCCGCGGGTTTCTCGGATCGGCGTTGGGCCCTCTGTGGCGGCGCTTCCCCTGGCGCGCTCCGCGGGCCAGGGAGGGGGGCCAGCGCCGAGCCAAGAGCTCTGCGCGGAGCTCCGACCGTTCGTGCTTGTGTTCGTGCTGCTTCTCCACAGGGGGGGGGGGGGGGGGGGAACTGCGGGCGGGTTGCAAAATCTGCCTCGCGCGGCTGGGTTCGGCATCGCCGCCAGGCGCTCTCCTCGCTGACGTGGGCGTGCCCGGCGCCGGGAGGCTCCTGCAAGAAGCCAGCTGCGTGGGCTGATCCGACAAGCCCCCCCCCCCCCCTCTGACTGCCCCTCCCCCTTCGCCCGGCCCGATAAGGGAGCCGCGTCCATCTTCGTGGCCGTCGAGCGGGACACCACCGGCGACCACCACTTCCTCGACGCGCCGCTGCCGACAGAAAGTTTCCCGAGCGACCACGCCATCGTGGCTGCGGATGTCTTCTTCCTCTGAGGCGCGGGACCGCCGCCGCTTCGGCTGGACCCACTGTGCTCATTGGCGCTCTCGCAAGCGATGAGGACGCAGGCATCCCTCCTACCTCATTCCTCGGGGGCCCATGACAAGGAGCACAGGCGATGCCCCTTCCCCATGACACCCTCGCGGAAGAAGATCCCAAGCAGCTTTCCACAGTGGCCCGACGGTCCAACTCCCGGCCCTTACTCCTACGGCTAGGGTTGAGCGCTACCTATTAGTAGTCGCAGTGCAAGGTAATTTCTGCTTCGGGTTTTGAGTTGAGTTTGGGATATATTATTTTGTTTTGTTGCTCCATTTGTTTTGAACAGATTGTAGCTGCATGTCCGTTGATTTTCAATTAACATGCGCCAGGTTCCAGTTCCAGGACACTTCGTGAATCTTTTATGGATTCCAGGTGATTTAACACTATAATGAAGCAGCTCAGAGTTCCAGAACGTTTTGTTTGAATTCGAATCCAATCTCAGCTGAACCCAACTTCAATGAAACAGATGCCAGTTCAAAACCAACACATAATAATGTAGCTGAATCCCTCTTAGAGTTAAATCGGTCCAAGGTTCAGTACATTTCAAAGTGTCATCAGACATACATTGGCTGTCGCGCAACATGAAACAGATCCCGAAGAATTGCACAGCGTGTCAATGCAATTGAAATTAGATCCAAAGGCTTGCACCACATCTACCGACACCCTCAATAAGCTCCCCTCTGTTTCGTGTCTGCCTTGTCCTCCGCCAGCCAGCGGTTGGACCGTGAGCCGGAGGGCCGGGTGCGCTGGGGTTGTGAAAACGCCTTGTCGTGGCCTAAAGACGAAGTGGCGAAATGCGCTTAGGCCTGAAACCACGAGTTGTCGCGACAGAAACGCATAAATCCACAGCAAACGATGGCCACACCGCACGAGGAACGTGAGAGTAGCGCGCGCAGGGTGAAGAGAATTTGGGCTCACGGCGCAAAGTTTGGAAGCATTCAAGCGTTTGGGCACGTGCCAGCAGCCACACTAGACGACGACGACGACGACGACGGCGGCGGCGGCGACGACGACGGCAACAAAGAGGAGGAGGACGGCAACGGCGACGGCGGCGGCGGCGGCATCATCGGCGGCGGGGACGGCGAATGCCGCGCCGACGGACGATGAGGACGGCGCGAAGGGGGGCGAGGAGCATGGCGCGGCAGCGGTGACCGTAGTAGTAGTCGTAGTAGTAGTAGTAGTCGTAGTCGTAGTAGTAGTAGTAGTAGTAGTAGTAGTAGTAGTAGTAGTAGTAGTAGTAGTAGTAGTAGTAGTAGTAGTAGTAGTAGTAGTAGTAGTAGTAGTAGTAGTAGTAGTAGTAGTAGTAGTAGTAGTAGTAGTAGTAGTAGTAGTAGTAGTAGTAGTAGTAGTAGTAGTAGTAGTAGTAGTAGTAGTAGTAGTAGTAGTAGTAGTAGTAGTAGGTAGTAGGTAGTGGCCGCGGCCGTGGGCCGCAGCGCGTGCAGCGCGAGCGCCCGCGCGCCGAGGCGCTCGACGCAAGGTGCGGCGCCGACCAGTCGGGCGGCCGCGGCCTCGGCGGCCCTGCTGCCAGGTGCTGCTGCCTCGTCGTCGTCCTCGTCCTCGTCCTCGTCGTCGTCCTCGTCGTCCTCGTCCTCGTCGTCGTCCTCGTCCTCGTTGACGTCGTTGTCGTCGTCCTCATCGTCGTCGTTGTCCTCTTCGACGTCGTCGTCCTCGTCGTTGTCGTCGTCGTCCTCGTCGTCGTCGTCCTCGTCCTCGTCGTCCTCCTCCTCCTCCTGGTCGTCCACGTCGTCGTCCTCGTCGTCGTCCTCGTCGTCGTCGTCGTCCTGGTCCTCGTCCTCCTCGTCGTCGGCTTCCTCGTCGTCGTCGTCGTCGTCCTCGTCGTCCTCCTCGTCCTCGTCGTCGTCGTCCTCGTCGTCGTCGTCGTCGTCGTCGTCGTCCTCGTCGTCGTCCTCGTCGTCGTCGTCACCCTTGTCCTTGTTGCCGTCGTCGTCGTCGTCGTCGTTGTCGTCGTCGTCGTTGTCGTCGTCCTCGTCGTCGTCGTCCTCTTCGTCGTCGTCATCGTCCTCGTCCTCGTCGTCGTCCTCGTCGTCGTCCTCGTCGTCGTCGTCGTTGTCGTCGTCGACGTCGTCGTCCTCGTCCTCGTTCTTGTCGTCGTCCTCGTCGTCGTTGTCGTCGTCCTCGTCGTCGTCGTCGTCCTCGTCGTCGTCGTCGTCATCGTCCTCGTCGTTGTCGTCGATCTCGTCGTCGTCGTCGTTGTCGTCGTCGTACTCGTCATCGTCGTCGTCGTCGCCGTCCTCGTCGTCGTCCTCGTCCTCCTCCTCCTCCTCGTCCACGTCGTCGTCCTCGTCGTCGTCCTCATCGTCGTCGTCATCCTCGTCCTCGTCCTCCTCGTCGTCGGCGTCCTCGTCCTTGTCGTCGCTGTCGTCCTCGTCCTCGTCGTCGTCCTCGTCCTCCTCGTCGTCGTCGCCCTTGTCCTCGTCGTCGTCGTCGTCCTCGTCGTCGTCCTCGTCGTCGTCGTCCGACTGGTAATCCAAACCGTGAGTAGCTTGTCGCTTAACCGTGAGTGGATTTTCGCTTAAGCGTGGGTGATTGAGCCCACGCTGTGAGCCCACGCTGTGAGCCCACGCTGTGAGCCCACGCTGTGCGTGCCCGCCGTGGTGAGCCCACGCTGTGAGTGCACGCTGTGAGTGCGCGCTGTGAGTGCACGCTGTGAGCCCACGCTGTGAGCCCACGCTGTGAGCCCACGCTGTGAGCCCACGCTGTGAGCCCACGCTGTGAGCCCACGTGTGAGCCCACGCTGTGAGCTCACGCTGTGAGTCCACGCTGTGAGCCCACGCTGTGAGCCCACGCTGTGAGCCCACGCTGTGGCGGTATCATTGGCGGTGGTGGTGGTTGTGGTGGTGGAGTGATGGTATGTGTGTGTGCGTGTGTGTGTGTGTGTGCGTGTGTGCCGGGCGTTGTGCGGAGTGCGGCGCTCGGTGTGCGGTGGGCGGTGTGTTGTGTATGGTGTGTGGTGTGCGGCGAGTGGCGTGTGGCGTGTGGCGTGTGGCGTGTGGTGTGTTGTGTGTCGTGTGTTGCGTGTGGTGCATTACGTGAGGTGTGTGCCATGTGGTGTTTTGCGTGCGGTGTGTTGCGTGAAGTGTGTATGTGTGTGTGGTGTGTGGCGTGTGGCGTGTGGTGGGTTGACGCCACACGCAACGCCACCACGCACACACGCACCACAGAGGAAATCGACCGCGCGAAAAAAACCAGCGCGCAAGGCATTCGAAATTCCGCCAGCCCCACGTGAGCTCGCAGTCTTTCTCGTCGGGTGGCGCGCAGCGTGCGCTCACAGTGTGCGCTCACAGCGTGCGCTCACAGCGTGCCCTCACAGCGCGCACTCACAGCGTGCACTCACAGCGTGCACTCACTCGGCCTACGCTGCTGCGCGTGCCCGTCGCGGTGAGCCCATGCTGTGGTGAGTGCACGCTGTGAGTGCACGCTGTGAGAGCACGTTGTGAGTACACATGGCGACTGCACGCTGTGAGTGCCCTCCATGAGCGCACGCTGTGAGTGCACGCTGTGAGTGCACGCTGTGAGTTCACGCTGTGAGTGCGCGCTGTGAGTGCACACTGTAAGTGCACGCTGTGAGCGCACGCTGTGCGTGCAGCTGTGGGTGCGCTCACAACAGCGTGCACTCACAGCGTGGTTGGCCCACGCTGCTGTGCGTGCCCGCCGTGGTGAGCCCACGCGTGCACTCACAGCGTGCACTCGCAGCGTGCACTCACAGCGTGGGCTTACCACGGCGGGCACGCACAGCGTGGGCTCACAGCGTGGGCTCACAGCGTGGGCTCACAGCGTGGGCTCAACACGGCGGGCACGCACAGCGTGGGCTCACAGCGTGGGCTCACAGCGTGGGCTCACAGCGTGGGCTCACAGCGTGGACTCACAGCGTGGGCTCACAGCGTGGGCTCACAGCGTGGGCTCACAGCGTGGGCTCACAGCGTGGGCTCACAGCGTGGGCTCACAGCTTGGGCTCACAGCGTGCACTCACAGCGCGCACTCAAAGCGTGCACTCACAGCGTGGGCTCACCATGGCGGGCACGCACAGCGTGGGCTCACAGCGTGGGCTCACAGCGTGGGCTCACAGCGTGGGCTCACAGCGTGCACTCACAGCGTGCACTCACAGCGTGCACTCACAGCGTGCACTCAATCACTCACGGTTAAGCGCAACGCTCCTCATGGTTAAGATCTATTCTCCGTCGTCCTCGTCATTGTCGTCGTCGTCGTTGTCGTCGCCTTCGTCGTCGTCGTTCTCTTCGTCGTCGTCGTCCTCGTCGTCGTCGTCCTCGTCGTCGTCCTCGTCGTCGTCCTCGTCTTCGTTGTCCTCGTCGACGTCGTCGTCCTCGCCCTCGTCCTCGTCGTCGTCGACGTTGTCCTCGTCGTCCTCGTCCTCGTCCTCGTCGTCCTCGTCCTCGTCGTCGTTGTCCTCGTCGTCGTCCTCGTTCTCGTTCTCGTCGTCGTTCTCGTCCTCGTCGTCGTCGTGCTCCTCCACGTCGTCGGCCTCGTCATCGTCGTCGTCGTCGTTCTCGTCCTCGTCGTCGTCGTGCTCCTCCTCCTCGTCCTCGTCGTCCCCGTCGTCGTCCTCTTCGTCGTCGTCGTCCTCGTCATCGTCCTCGTCCTCGTCGTCGTCCTCGTCTTCGTCCTCGTCGTCGTCTTCGTCGTCCTCGTCCTCTTCGTCGTCGTCGTCCTCGTCGTCCTCGTCCTCGTCGTCGCAGTGCTCGTCCTCATCCTCGTCGTCGTCATCGCCCGTGTCCTCCTCGTCGTCCTCGTCGTCCTCGTCGTCGTCCTCGTCTTCGTCGTCGTTGTCGTCGTTGTTGCTCGTCGTCGTCGTCTTCGTCGTCGTCGTCATCGTCCTCGTCGTCGTCCTCGTCCTCGTCTTCGTTCTCGTCGTCGTCCTCGTCGTCGTCCTCGTCCTCGTCGGCGCCCTTGTCCTCGTCGTCGTCCTCGTCGTCGTCGG